CTAATTTCTTCTCATAAAAGCTTAACTTCTTTTTGTTCAGAAGCTTATCGTACTCCTTTTATCGCTTAATGTGGTTCAGTTGTCATATTTCTCTAAAGTTAGATAAATTCTCCAGAATTTTTTATTGCATCGTCTCCTCCTTTTATGCCGAGACTGATCATTCATTTGCCTGACTGAAAGAATGAAGTACACGATTTTTCCTTGTTAACAATTATAATGAGAACAAACACGAAATAAGGCCGTTGCAGCACTCTTTCCGTCAATTCTTAATTTCGATTATGATTGTTCGGCAAAATTGGCCGCTATGACTGCCTTCATGCTTGCAAATCGGCGATCACAACTGCGCGGTTGCGTTGCGACAAAATTCGATATCGTTCTGTTTAATTTATGACTATGCCACGCTTTATTCTTCAAGGTGTGGTGTAATTTCGTTCTTTAAGCAACGATCCCCAGAAAGCATTGGTGATACAACTACTTTAACGAGATGTGTGACAACAATAATGGAAAACCCAGCCGTACCTCTGCGATCCATACGGGTAAATGAGCTGCAAGTCTACTTTTTTTCTTTTATGCAACCGTTTGAGCGTAGTACTTTCCAAGTCAAACAAGCTGGAACTCTCAAGAAAAGAACTTTAAATGTGCAAAAAAATTGTTAAAGCTTATCCGTTGCCTTAGTAGTTTTATAAGAAAAAAGCCCTAAATAAAGGCGTTAAGCTGACACAAAGTTCATAGAAACCAATCCCATGGCGTTAGAACAAGAATAGTTGAACTCCTCGCCCTTTTGGAATTACGCACCTTGCTGGCCACTTCCACCTGAGAACCCTAAAATTACTTTTGTTAGGGATAAGCACAATTCTAAAGCAATAATACGTGGCGTAATCAGAAGTTGAGGTGAGTTTTGGCTGACATCGAATTTTGGTGCAACGCAATCGCGCAGCACTTCAATCGTCCCATCCTTATAAAGTATGGATGCAACTAAAGATTTTTTGATTACTTCACTTGAACAATAACTAGCTCTTAAGT